CCCCCCCTTTTGTGTTTAATGTTCCACCCTCGCCCCCCCCCCCGAGAAAACTCGTGCATTAAAACTTAATATCAAGCTTGCTCTTCCCCTCCAACCTCATTGAACCCACTATTTACTCATTACTCAACTTCCCTTCATTTACATGCTCCTTGATTCAGGCCCAGTCATCCTCCACCCACCCAGTCTCCGCTGCCCCGACTCAGTCACCATTCAATTTATTTGTCCTCATTCACATTCGCTTGGTCATCACACAGTGTGTGCTCTTTCCTGCCCCATCAAATGCATTGACCTCTGCATTATCTCTTTGAAACTGCAACAACAACCTTAGTACGTCATCCAAGGTTAGGCCTTCTCCCATGGCACATATTCCCCTAGTCCTTTGAGGATCAATGTTTTTGGCAGGCATTTCACATATTATCCTTCACTCTGCTGGAGTGCCACACTGGTCCCCTTCTTCTGCCTGATCAGCTGCTCTGCTTTTTTTTTTCTTTCCTGTGCTTCCTGCCCTATTTGCTGCTTTGCTTTCTGTGCAGCCTGTCCCCTGCCTGATATGCTGTGTGCCACAGTGAGTGTGCCAGGGTCACTTGTGGCACCCCTGCCTCAGGTCGGCCATCCCTGACCTCTCTCTTTTTCCCAGCTGATGACAAGAGTTCACGAGGGCAGGGTTTTGTTTTCTGTATGTGTATGTTTTGCTTCAAGAAGCGCAAGACACTTAACCTGATTGTAATTTGAAGACTTTCACATTGGTGATATGCTGGGTAAAAGCTCTGAGCTCTTCATTTGTATCTGTCCCTATACTTGTAACACTTGCTGTGTTTCACAATAGAGGATGGGAAAAGTGATTTTTATGCATCATTATAACATATATAAAGCGGTTGTAGGATCCTTTGAAAAGAGCAGCATAAATGCAATATTTGTCAAACATACTCATTTGAACTTTCAGGATGTTGTGTTGAGCAGACTAGTTGTAGCTTTCTTTTGGGTTATATGGATAAACTGGGAAACAGGAAGCACTGGGGTACAGAATCATGGGTCTGAAATGGGTTCACAACTTGGAAATACATTACTTCTGAGCCATGCTGAACTAGGGAGTTCATCTCAAACAAATACTGATAGATCTTTTTTATTTTACACCACTCCATTATATATTCTTTGCAGGTTACTTGCTATCAAAAAGCTATTTTCAGATGGCTTTGGAATTGTTTAACTGTTGTCTTTGCCTGTAAACCCAAGTTACATAGATGTACAAAGACAAACTTAACTAAATATGAACCTTAGTTACCATGAGCTCAGCTGTATGGAACTCAGAGGGATCATTCTTTTAATACTTCTAAGAGTGGTCTGAAATAGTTGTGGTGTGGCTGAATGGTTTATTTTGGGTTTGCTGTAGAATTTTAGTGTAAAAAGTCATATTTGAAAAAAAATTGAGATCTTTGGCTCTTTCAAGGTTATAAATAAGTGCTGGTTTTTGTGGGATCCGAGAACATTTTTTTTGTCACTTCAGAATTTTCACTTTGCCCTTTTTTTGGTATGGAAAAGATCTGTCGTGTTTCTTCACTACTGAACTTTGACTATCCTGAGCCTCAGGCCATTGTAATTTTTGTGTTGGGGGGAGGGGAGGAGAATTTTTTCTCAGAGGTTGAGTTTAAAAAAAAAAAAGAAAAAGAAATAATGGTGGCTGCTTAGAACTGTTTAGTTGGTTAGAATGTTAGAGTAATTATAGAGGGAGAAGGATAAATTATTGTAGTACTGTCAACAGAAGTAGGTCAAAAAACATGAGTAGGGTTGCAAAAAATCATGAGGCCGGCTTAAAAAACAAAACTGTGTACGTCCTCTCTCTTTGCCTTTTGGGTTTTTAAGCCTTTAGGATACATTGGAGTAATACTTTTCATTTTTTTCCTGCAAGCTAGAGAGTTAGAAACTTACTTTAGATAAAAATGAAAGCAGAGTCTCTCAGTTGCTTTGTGCAAGAGCTGGAGCTGCCTGGAAAGCACCAAATAACACTAAATATATGATACTATCATGAATTGACAAAACTATTAGCAGGAACAAAATGGCCAAACATATCTGATAAACTTATTTTGTATAGCTTTATGGTTCCAGATAATAGCTTCTCCATATATGTGGAGTGTGTGCATGTATGTGTGTGCATATGACTAAAATAAATATGTAAAATGTTGTGTGGTAACTTTGAAGATGATGTTTGAATACCTTTACTCAGCCAGCCAAATTGAGAATAATTTAAACTTCCTATGAGTTGTAGCTCTGAAAAAGAGTAGTAATATTCACATGATAATTAAATCCAGTGAATTCTGGGAAAATAATCCATATCATAGACCATAAATCAGGAAATGTCTTGGTTTTGTCTAATTAATGCTTTTCTTTTTTTCTTTTAATATAGCATATTTATCTACTTACCAACAATGCATCAGTAATCATGGTAGCAATGAAGACATTGAACTTGCTTCTGTGCTTGCTCCTATGAGTTTATTGGTAGTAACAATGCACCGTGTTTGAGATTTCTATTCTTTTGTGGGAAGAGAAGTTTGGGGTAGAGTGTTTTGTATAAATTCTTCTTGAATAGGTAACTCAGTTTCTTGCTGCAAGGATTAAAAAATTGGCATTTCATACTGTATATTCAGTCCAGGTTTGCATGCATGCAAACTACACCCTTCTCTCACCCCTGTGTTTCAGAAGGGATTATGAAACAATGGGGCAAGATCATCTGAAGGTGATGCTAAATCTTTGTCAAATGACTAAAACCCAGACTGAACTCTGCCTTATGATGAACAATGTGCAGAGTGAAGGGAAACCACAAGATTCCCTTTGCAGAGATACCTTACTCTGTGGGTAAAGGATAATATAGTATTCAAGAAGCAGATACTATTCCAGAATCCTGTGGCTTTCTGGGATCAGTTCTGGGCATAGGTCTCTTCTTAGGTGCAAAAGCCTAGAAGGCAGGAAAGGAGAGGTTAGGATAAACTGCTGCACCTGCATTAGCTTCCAACTCTGGAGGATGTTACCTAGCTAAAATCAGAGCCTTTCTCCTGGCACAATAAGAGTGTATAGTTGTTCAAGAGATTTCTTGCAAAAGAGAGCTAGCTCTTCCAC